GCAAATTCATCATTCAGTTAACTGAAATTCCAGGACCTCTATCACCACGTGCAAGATCTCATTATGCGTTCATCCTATGCCATTTAGGAGGATAATTGGAATGGTAATTGAATTTCCCAATGTCATAGGAGTGAAAATGACGTTTCTATTAAATATCACATGCCCTTGCCTCCCCAAAAGTTTTTCGAACTCCGGTTGGACTGCAATTTCGACCTCGCTCAGGTCCAATCAGCACACCCAGTGGGACTCGAACCATAAAACTGTGGCGTATAACCTCGACACGCTGCTCACTACATGACATTGCCACAAGTGCTTTAGATCACAGGGCAGATGTGAATTTTAAGGAAATTCAGGCATTTTAATAAATCGCATTCCGTGATGGTGTCATGGTTCGAGTCCCGCTGGGGGTGTTGATAAGAACAACTGTTGGGAAAGTAAGGTAGTAAGGATGATGGTGAGTAAATTCAACTACCATTCCTTTTATACCCCTAAACAAGATGAGATGAAAACATCTCACATGATGTTCTACTGGCGGTCTCGCATGCCTACTTATAAACACTAAATAAGTAGTGTACTCGAATGCCAAAGAATGTGATATGTGAAAATGCCTGTCCTATCTTGTAGCTCACACATGCAATGTGGCGTAGTGATTAGCGTGTCGAGGCTATACGCTACAGTCTCTTGGTTCGAGTCCCATTGGGGTGCTGATGAGACCGGTTTAGGCGAGGTCAAAACTAAGAATACTATTGGGAAACAAGGTTATGTCAAATTGAATGAAATGAAATTTTGCCAACGAATATCCTATTTCCATTACATTATTACTACACAAAAGTTGGTTATATTCTGCCTAGACTTTGGTTTCGACCTCGTCAAAACCTCACTTACCACTCGCAACGGGACTCGAACCTGGGCAGTCTTTTTTTATTTCCAACATCTTGCCCCTCCGTGGTAGTATGAATGAGGCAAGTGTATATCTTTCATTAAAACCCACGCTTCTACTTATATCCATGTAGAGTAGATTTTATTATTCATGAAATAAGAGCAAATTCGCTTATAATGGTACAAAATTAAAAATAATTAATGTTGGTTGTACGTTTTCATACCACACAATGCCATGTCGTAAATTGCTTGGTCTTCCTTGAAAGTCACATCTGACCGTTTGTTCAAGGGCACACGTTGCAATTGGGCGTAGTCGTTGACGTGTCGAGATTATATGTTGAACGGTCATGGTTCGAGTCCCGCTGGGAGTGCTGGTGAGATGACTTTAAATGAGGCCGTAACTGCCGTCCACTCCTGCTCGGATGAAAACGTCCTTTAGAGAAGTAAGGTCATGTGAATTCCGATGGAAGCATAAGGCCTACTCATGTGGTTGCGGCAAAGTTCAACGAACATGTTTTTATATTTCGAATTGAGTGTTAGGGTCAAAGCCCTAATTACAAATGCAGAAAAGAGAGCTTTTCTCGAAATGATGTCGTTAGACTTCATTCGGCCCTGTCTACCAAAAGGTTTTCTTCATCATCGTCTCTTCGTCAACCCAACGGAAATAGAATCCGGGTTATGGGTGTAAATACTTTGCAAGATGGCATTTCAAGACAGATTATTATCAGGAAACAAAGCAAACAAATGTATAAGATGAATTCACCCTATTTCGTTTTAGGCGATAAGATGAATTTTCCCATAATCTGATGATGAGATGAAATTTTATGAAAACGGTGTGAGATTCAACCAACAGTCCTTCAGTACCTTAAACGAAAAAGGGTCAATGCATCTCGAACAGATGATTTAGTGGTGGTCTCAAAGACCTACTTATAAACCACATAACAACAAACGTAAATTTAAAAAAATATTAAATGTACTATTTAAATTACTGCCTACTTATAAGTAGATCTTAAATATGAACATTTACCGCTCTACCGTTACTTTTTGTTGCTACCGTCGTTCACTTGTAAACTGGAGTCTGGAGTTGTCAGTACGACGTAGACCGACAAGTGAATATCGTCAATCGGGTCTGGCCGTTGAGGCAAGATGGCAGTGTTGCGCCAGTTTTCACGTTGGTCTCGACAGTGGTTTAGTACATTTTGGGACTCTTTTGTAAAAGTGTGCGTACATGCTGTGATGGTGCCTGTCACGACGGGACAGCTGCAAGATGAGCGCATCGGGCCGCAGAACTTCACTTTGCGCCACTTCTCCTTCGGTCTGGGATGAGAACATTTCAGAAATGCCGTCCAATCAACTGTTCTCTCGAAATGGACAGTTTTATCACAATAAATCTGGTAGAACTTCTTGAAACTCTACTTTTTCTTCCCATTTCACCTGAAGTCAAGTCCGACCGCCTTCTCTTCACGAGTTGCGAGGGCGATGAACGTCTTCCGACGGTCGGACGGACTCGGACCAGCGACGGTCTCTTGAAGACTTTGTGGACACAGTCGATGCTCTGCAACCTCGTGCAGGGAATCTCAAAATGAGCGAGAGAGAGCATCTATTGGCCTGGACCGGCGCGACCTTTGACCAGTTCTCCTGCCTCCAGACTCCACAAAAAAGCCATTTCCTTCCAGCGGAGACTTCAACCGGAGCAGGTAGACGTCGCTATCCTCCACCGGTACCACCCGGTCTCCAACACCTTAACGTTGCACCACGTCGGCACAGACCGATGGAGATTACGCATCAATTAGGCGTGGATGTGCATGTGTGTCTTGTGTGTGCTGGTGTCTGGATAGGTCTGTGCAATTGTGACTAAAAGTGAGTGTGAATGTGTATGGCTGTCAATGTAGGTGTGCAAAAATGTGCGTGTGAATGTGTTAGAGAGTTGAATTGTGTGAGTACAGGAACGGATAAATGCTAGTGTGTGTGTGTGTGTCTGTGATTGAGTGAAGGAAGTTGTGTTTGTGTATGTGGTTGCGTGGGTTTCTTTTCACTGTGTATGTGTGTGAACGCGTGTGTGAGCGTGAGGTAGTTAGTGAGTGTCCGCATATGAAATGTTTCTTTTGTAAGTGTTTGCATGTGATTTTGACAATTAATAAATGAATAAATGAGCATTTGAGTGCCAGCGTTTTATTCCGCTTGTGTGTTTGAGTAAAAATATTTTGTGTGAAAGTGCAAACGAATGAATCAGAGTGAGAATGTGATTTCGGAGGTGTGATTGAGATTGAGTATGAGTGTATGTGTGCACGAGAGAATGCAAGTTAGGTAGTCGACGAAAGTGAGCATGTATAGTGACTGTATGTGGGATTATTAATGTTGTATGCCTGCATGTGTAGGTTGTGTAAAGTTGAATTTGTGAATGTTTCGGGCGGGATGAATGAATCTGTATGATTGCAAATCTTCTGCATTGTGGACAGGTATGGAGGAAAGTGGACGAATGGGAGGATGGATGAACGAGCAGTGCTTCTCAGCTGGTTGGTGGGTCGTTGAATGGTCATGGGTGAAATGGTACAGCGGCTGTAAAGGCTCGTCGTCTTCTTTCCCCATCCCCTCGACGGCCTCTTCGCCTCCTCTCAACTGTCCGATTGCAGACGGCATTGTGAGTCACCCAAACTGGGTGTGCCAATGTGTGCACACTGGGACTTGTAAGCTGTCGTATGGGATTTCTCGGGGACATGCCCATTCCGCCGGCGCCCCCACACCCCCCTCCCCCTCTTCAAGTGCTGTCCACATTACTTGAAGACCACTTTATTTTTCCCTTTGCCAGCTCCCAACTCTGTTTGGTCTTGCGCCATCGCAACTCGAATGGGAATCCAACTCCTCCCTACGCCGCACGTCTACCTCCATCCACCCATCCACACACACACACACAAACACGCAGATACACACACATACACATGCGCCCAGATCAAAAGACACGCGAGCCGACATGAACATTTCAGCATTCGGCGTTTTGTCCAGTTGAACGGCCAAACGTCCATTTGGCCGCAGTTGCCATGCCGCGGAATCTCAGCGAAATGTACCTCCCCGTGTCAGGGTTGCGCAAGCCTGAAAGCAGATCGGCTTGCCGCGGAGATTGGACAGAAGCCAAGGCGAAGAGGAGTGACTGAAGGAGTATGCACGAAACGGGCCTTGCTGTCTTTTGTGCGACATGTCTTCATCCCATTTCTTTCTTGCCTTTTAACCGTCAGTCAACTTTTACGCTTTTTTGCCAAACGCTCGTCTGTATGTGTGTCTTTACATGTGTATGTGTGTATGTGGGCGAAAGCACGTATACTGGGGAGGGGAGATGAGATGACGAAAGGTCTGCGCTTCACACCTGCGCGGTATTGAGTAGATTTCTCGGGTGTGGGCTTGTGTGTGTGTGTGTGTGTATGTGTGTGATGAGATGAGCACATGCATGAGTGTGTAGACGTGGAAAAATGGTGATCAGCTCGGACGTCTGGTCAGTGCCAAGCACTGGTCACACTCAGTTTCCCATCTGCCTCCATTCACACGCCCACACACATACAAAAACACACCTTCACCGGTGTTAAACTCGGCTAATCATCAGCGTCCCTCGGCCACCGGCTGCAGCAGAAGACGTTCGTTTGCTTGCGCAATGCCATCTTCTCCCAACAATCCTCTCACAGATTTCATAGACTATTCACCGACGTGTCGAAAAGGCTTGTTCTGTGGTCCGTCCACACTATTCACACACCTACACTTAAAAATACACATTCACTTGCCAGCAGATCTACACACATCCACAAGCAGACACATTCCTCTGACCTATTGCACACACTCACACAATAATATATTCTTACAATTGTTCACTTTTTCATTAAAATTTGCTCTCCCTTTCCCTCTCACACACACAAACACTCTGAAACGGGAACTCATAACATACTCTTTCGTGCACACATACACTAGTATTGCCTATTTAGCATAATCATGCACTGTTGCTTACCAATTTACCCGCATTCATACATGCACACAAAGATTGAGGCGAAAGAATTCATATAAACACATGCTTTATCTTGAATAAAAGTTGAAGACAGTCTCATCATATAAGCTTCATGTCTCCTCGCCCCACGAATGGTCTTTCCATACCAATTGGAAATTGAACAGGGCTCTTTTCAACGCATAATTGCGAATGACTAAATCGGATGGGCAATTGGGCGAACATGCATTTTGCCGATGCAATCCATGATATTACTCATATGCAAAGTAAGTAGGTCACTAGCTTTTCGGTTCCAAGGCAGAATTGGCAAAAAGGAATTCGTGAATTCGGCTCACGTGAAAGCCAAGTAGGAGGATTGCCTTTGGGTGAAGATTGATGATTTCCGGACCGATGAATACACGAATTACGTCCAGCCAACTTTGCCTTGGCAATGAAAAGTTGTCACACTGAGTCACACTTTTCTTCTCAAAATACTAGTTTGCAGAATCGACAGTCCCACTAAAATGGTGAAATGGAAATTCACGTTTGCCGTGCGTCTGGGCTCGACTTCTGGCCCATCTGGCCCAGTCCGGTCAAGCCGGATTAAGCACACCTTTTGTTAGGCAGCGTGTGAAACCTAATCATGTGATTTTACAAGAATTCAGCCATCCTTCGTCAAAGTGTTCGAGGCCTTGTTCACAATTCTCGCGTGGACTCATACTCCAGACACCCTCTCATGCCGACCGCC